AAAACCGAGCAAACTCAATAAATTAAGCATGAAATACTATAGAAATCAAATGTGCTAAACTATTAATCAATCAGCATTAATTTTTTTTGGTAAAAAAGGGGGTTGGCGTCCTAAGGCGTCCTAGTGTAAATTTCTCAAAATTGTGATATTTACATCACATTTTTGAGAGGTTTATGGGAGTCCTAAGGGAAAATTGAATAGCTAGGGCTTCCCGAATTTTCATTCTAAGATTTAAATATATTATATACTTAAGTATACTACAAGAAATATAAAAATTAAATTTTTATTATGTTAACTTATAAGAAATTTTTTTGAATTATCGTTGATTTATTGTAATCTTTCCAGGCTATACTTTTGAAATCAACTTTACCTGTCATACGCATTAATGTAGTAGATGTCCAGGTGTAGCTATTATATCCCAGCAACATTGGTATTTTATCATTGTAAGATATCAAAATGAAGCGTTTTTTCAGATATAATTTTTCGTAAATTTTTCAAAAATAAGATGGTAAAAAAGCCTCGACTTGCTCGAAAAATAACAATTTTTTTACTTGTAAAAATAACCCTTTTACAGCATGGGCAGCTATTCAATCACTATTTCTTTTTCTAAAAGTATATTTTTCAAAAAAAATTAAGATCAAATTCGACAATTTCTTGATGAAAGCAAAAATATTACACATACTTCTAGATGCATGGGATAAAATATGCAATTATTCAATCAATTCGCATGATTTGAAAAAAAAATCTAAATTTGATAAAAATGTAGAAATTTTTTATTTTGAACTTGAGATTCGATTTTTTTGATCCAATTTGTGAATTTTTTTTGATCGGAATTTCAATTAATTTGTTGATCAAAAATGACCTCACAATGTTTGATCATAAGTGAAGTCATCTTCATGGGTATTTAGAAATTCCAAGAGAAATTGCTTATTTCTCGCAGATGTAATATCTGAGAAAATCGAATTTAAATATTCATAGAAACCCAAATCATTCTCCGGTTCGAATAATTCATCTGTTGCTTTTTCTGTTTTTTCTATGAATTTTAATAATTTGATTAATAAATCTTCATCAGGAAGAATTATTGCTGCATTTGTGATAAAATTCCATATTGAGGTAATATGGCAATAATTACATTTATAAAATGTAATTTTATCCAAAATTTTTTGGCAAATTCGCATAATAGCATTAATATTTGAAGCTGAGATTAAACCTGTGATTACTTCTGTAACTTTTGGAAAATCATCGCAATTTAATATCTCTTTATATTGAATTGAGAAATAAAAAAAATCAAATGGATTCATTTCTTCAATTTCAAGGAGATTGTAAAAATTGATAGAAGTGTTATTGCAACAAATTGTATTTGCAGCAAAAAATATCATTTGCTCGATTCCATTTTTGGAATAAATTTGCTGGAACAATGTTAAATTAAAACAGTTGCTTAATTTTTCTTCATTGTTTTCATAAAAAAGTAACAAGTTTGCAACTGAAATTTCAAAATTTTGATAATTGCCAGTTATTTCAGTAAATATATATATTTGCTTTTCTTCATCTAAAAATGGCAAATATTGATTTGCAATATTAACTAAAGTTTGGGATAAATTGTTCCAGTTTGATTTTACAATTTGTGAGCACATTATGTAATATGTAAATTTATCCGCTTTGTAGGAATTTAAAATTGTTTGTTGTTCTGTTTCAGTTAAATTACTGAATTTTTCAAGATTAATATTGTGATAAAAAATAGAATCCTTGAAACATTCTGATATCTTTTCAATGTTTAAAACGGATGCTAAAAAATGTAAAAGAACTTCATCAGTCACTGTGATTTTTTTGAAAAATTTATCCCAATTCAAGCATCCAATTGATCTTTCTGTCATTGTACTTATGCATTGATAAAGTTGATTTAATGAATCCGAAGAATAATCATTATGCTTGACTAGTTGAGTTAGTTGATACAGACTGTCGTCAGCCATTTTAAAAAAATGAATAAAATTGTATAGTAAATTATATTTGTGAAATTTGTGACGCTACATTCAATCTAAGACCAATATCTCAAAGAATTCCTCATTTAAGTATTACTTTTCATTGTTTTTTAAAAAATATCTTTGCTTATTTGTTCACTTTTTTGACATTTATTATATGCTTTTTATCATATTTCCGATGATATGAATATATATTCTATATAAGAATGACGCTACATTCAATCTAAGACCAATATCTCAAAGAATTCCTCATTTAAGTATTACTTTTCATTTTTGATTCAATTTTCGAACGGTTTTCGTAAATTTTGCATCATTTCATTTTTTAATGGGAAAATCATCTATATTTAATCAAAAAAGAGCAAACTTTACAGACGAAAATAAAATATTTATCAGGGAACAATCTGATAAATACCAAAAATCAACATCGAGAGATGAAAAAACGAATATAATCAAACAAGTTCTTCAATATTTTAATATTAAATACGCCGAAAATGAATCTAAAGCTGTCAGAAGATATTTTAGTTATATTGCAGTTAAAAATATTCCTGCAGTTACTGGAAAATATCCTGATACAATTGTTCGCAAAGATATGCTTTATTCGCATGATCATACAAATATTATTAATTCAAATAATATTGAACGTTACTACCGTTGCATCGATCATTCTTGTCAAGCACGTTATTTAGTTAAAATTGAGAACAGTTCAGTTTCCGAAGATTTACAAAAGGAACATATACCCGAATGCAGACAATTTAAAAAGTTACAAAATGAAAAAAATGATCTTCATAAATCAATGACTCTGACAGAAATATACAATAAGGCAATGGCAAAATTTTCTGAAGACAACGGCACTTTTCAGCAGATTAAAAAAATTATGACAGAACTTGCTGTTGGTACTGATGAAAACCCATTAATTAAAGATTCATTGGTCAGGGAAGTTTATAATAAGTCCAGAAAATTTTCTGTTGGAGAAAAAATTACAGACGATGAAATTGCTAATTTTTGTTTAATAAATGGCAAGCAGTTTTTCATTGGCCATGATTTTCAAGCAAATTGTGAGACGATGTTTTTTGGTTTTGAGAAGGCAATTCAATTTGCAAAAGAAGCCACAGATTTATTTTGCGATGGAACTTTTAAAATTACACCAAAACATTTTCAAAAAGGACAGATGCTAACAATTATGATTTGTGAACCTTCAACAAATCAATATCTACTACTTTTATTTATATTCATGAAAAACCGCACATTTGAATCTTATAAGAAGGCATTTGAATATATTTTTACTGTCAAGGGTATTCAATTTTCAAAGCTAATTCAAATTCATTGTGATTTTGAAAAGGGAATGATAGAGGCACTTCAACAAATTTTCCCTAAAGTCCGTATAATTGGATGTCTATTTCATTTCAAACAAGCTTTACACAGGAAACTTGTAGCACTTTATACAAAAAATTTCAATACTTTACAAAATTCTTTATTTAAGCTATATTCTATTACTCCATTCATGTCTCATGAAGAATTTGTACTTACAATGCATATAATTAATCAAAATAAAGTTGATTCGATCAAAGATTATATTGATTATTTCAACAAAGTTTGGTTGCCGCACTACAATTTAATAGTTAGTATACATATCATGGGTACGACGGCACTGCGTTCCACCGTACCCCTGTTATGTGAATTTGACACTTTACGAAACCTTTAACGTATATTTTACAGCACAAACGACAACACTAACTTAACCTTAAATATTTACAAAACCGTCTGACACATAAACGACTTCACTAATGTAAAAATAAACGTTCTCACTTACAAAAGTATTGCAACTCCTCCCATTGCTGTGCTTCATATAACAGCTCATAATCTTCTGACTCACTTTCTTCTTCATATAGGTCAAAATCACTGTCATAGTTTATACCTGTAAGTTTTGACAAAGCTAATGAAACACGCTTACCGTTTGTATCGTATGCTTGTATAAACTTTCCATTATGCTTGTAGTCATAAACGCTCAAACTAACTTTACCCTTTCTCCCTCGTATCTGATAGAATGTATTTTCACGAGGAACGAAGAACAAGTTCTTGAACTCATGACCGTTGTAGTTTGTTATCTCAATAGTTTTCGTCATTTATATAAAAATAAAATAAAAAATAAACTTAAAAATTAATGATATCACCACCCTCACACGTATGAAAACATAGCACAAAAATAGATTTAGGTGAAGTGGTGAGATCTCACCTGTTTTTTCACCCTGTTGAATTCATTGCTTTATAACTCTCTTCCTTGGTTTCTCCAACTCTTCTAGCTTCTTCTTAAGTTCAGCAATGTTGTCCTCATGAAGTTTAATCTTTCTCAAAATTCCTTCTTTATCTAATGGTTGCTTTATCTTTCTAAACTGAACTCTACCATCCTTCATAGTATGAACGTAAAAACCTTCTGGAACCGCTCCTGATTTAATGTATTCTACCAAGAACTTTTGTTTCATTGCTTCAGTGACTTTAGTCGTCATTTCAATCAAATAAAAATTTTAATAAAATAAAACTAACGTTATTTTTTCAGTAAGGAAACGCAGGAGTTTTACGATTTATTTGAGGAGTAGGTTCTGGTTTAAATGTTGGAGTCGGTTTAGGAGTTGACTTTTGAACAGGAGTTTGTACTTCCATAGGTTCAGGAGTCATTGAAGGTTTTGCTTGTGAAGGTGTTGGAGTTTGTTTAACTTCAGCTACTTCAGTATTATTTACAACATTTGCTTTATTTCTTTTCAACATCATAACTGCTCCTGCTGTAGCTAGCAAACCTAGTGGGAAACCATATTTTATATAAGGACTTGACCAAATGCTATTTTTGACAGGAGCTGGTGGAACACCTAACCTTGGTGAGACTGCTCTTTGCCATTGTGCAGCTCGTAAGAAATATTCAATAGGTGCTCCATAATCGTTTGGTAAAGTTTGTTTCATAGATGGTGAAGGTTCACGAGAGCTTGATGAAGAACTCATTTATAAGCTTTAAAAATAAACGTTCATCCTTTATTCCTCACTGTCGTCCGTAGCTAAGTTATAGTCATCTAATCTTATTATGGGGATGCCATTAGCACGCACCTGAATGGCAAAGCAACAATCCCTCATAAATCCAATAAGTGGCTTTGGTACGTTTTCAGTTGCTAGTTCAATAGGTCCTTTAACAGACAATTTGTATGTTATTGGAGCAGTAGATGTTTGACCTTGCTGGAAGCAAAAGTCCACTTCTGTTGGAAAACCACATAAGAAATGTGTGTTGTCATAGCTATCCCATTTATGTTCCACACTACCATCATCCACCAATGACCTCATAACATCTTCATTAAATCCAATCATATCATTGTTTGTATTGCAAGCGTTCGCAACCATTTCATAAAATACAGGTCCATATGATTTTTCAGGTTCTGCAGGCATATTTCCATAAGCTCCCATGGAAAGCTGAAGATATTTAAACTTAGGGTTCTCAAAATTAACATAATAGTTGTCTTTCTTTCTAAATAGTGCCCAAATACTTTTAACATTAATAGGCGTATAAGCTGCTGTAAATGTTGCACTTGAACTATCTGTATTCTTTGAGAATGAACCGTCCATAGGAATCCAATCCATAACTTTAACAGGAAAACATAAAGCCTCGTTTGTATAATGTTCTACAAGTTCTGTATAAATGTTAGGGTCTAAAGAGAATGACTTTGGATGAATGAAACATTCATTAAAATCCATCTTTGTTCGAAATAGTTGCTGGTTACAGTTGTAATAGTAACTGTTCCACTAGCTTCTACTGCCTTCGTTATCATAGTGAATGGTTCATTCCATGGAACAAATTTATTTGTCGGTGGATTTGAATCTGAAGCAAATGCAACTTTAAGAGTTGGATTGAAAGCAATGATATCATTTACAGATATAGATGTGCATTGTAAGGCGTCGCTACTGAACTTTACTTTAAGCTGAATGTTTCCTGCAAAAGCTGGAATAAATCGAATAGCTTCTAATGGAAGGAATCTTCTAACAGGAATTCTTAAACGAAGCTTAAAATCAAATGATTTTCCTGCTGTAATTGGACCACTAACAATTTGTCCTGTTCTGCATGTTCCCGAATGACTCCATACATCTTCATGTCGAGTCTTTGAGAAAACATCTACTTTCTTTATTTGTTCGGTAGTTTGTGAGTTTGAAGTTATATATGCTTCTTCTCTTGCGTTGTCTTGAGAATATACGATACGACCATTTGCAAGGATTTGATATCCAGCAACTGCATAGAAAGCGTCATCGAAACCAATCCAAAATCCTGGTGGGTTTGTTTTATTGGAACCTGAACCAATTTCTTTATCTACAATAAATTGACCTTCCATTTTATACGTAATGAATGTATTGTAAAGGTCCAACATATTTTCACCAGGAGGTGAGAGATTGAATGTTACCCATGTGTTATCTTTAGCAGTTCCAGGTTGTGATGGAATCTTTGCGTCAGAATATTTTCTATTAGTGTCACCAATTTGAACTGCATTGTCTATGATATCGAAATATGAGCGAATCTGATGAATATGCTCTGCTGGAGTAAATTCGTTTAGCTGTTCGTTCTGCATGTATTTACTTCAGATAAAAATATCTATTTACTTCATTATTCTCACTCTTCTTCTTGGCATTCGTGGTGGAAGTTGTTTCTTGACATTTTCAATGAACTGTACATTCTCTTTTGTCTCAACTTCTTTCACTGGCGGGTCAGGGTTCTTTGACTCGGTTTGTTTTTCAATGAAATTCACGAACTTTGCAATAAGCTCTTGGTTCGTTATTGAAAGTACATCTGGCTTCTTTTCTTCTGGTTCTTTTGGTGGCTCAGTTTGAACAGAAGGTTTTATATGGGCTTCGTGGACTTCACCCTTGCCATGCACCTTAATGTTGTCGCTTTCTGCATTCGCTAATGGAACCTTTCTTTTTCTTACATATATTTTACCATCTTTACTCTGACTTACGTAATAGAAAGGATGTTGTATTCCTCTGGCGTCATTTAATATAATAGACTCTCGTTCTGATTTTGACAAGCTCATTTTACATCGGTTAAAGTTTTAATTTTGTTTTTTATCTGCAGTCAAATGACTCAGACAAGTCCTACGGACAAGACCCAAGGGGTCATAGATGTTGAAGCATTGAAGAAAGAAATTCGCGAGCAAATTTTATCCGAACTGAAGGAACAAAAACAAGAACAAAAGCCAGAGAGACCAAAGAGAAAACTTAGTGAAAAACAACTAGCTGCATTAGCTGCTGGAAGACAGAAGAACCCACGTTTGCTGGCGAAGAAAGCTAGAGAAGAAGCTGAAGCAAAAGCTAAAGAAGCTGAAGTGAAGAAAGAGTAAATGGTTTATTTTTATTGGAACTAAATGTATAGACAAATACCTTTATCTGTTGCGTTCAGTAGTGAAAACCCTGACGTCAAAATAAAGGGGAACAGAGTAACGTTTAAGTTTCCAACAGACTGGATTGTGAACATAAATGAAGAGAAGTACATTGGCATAACATCTATGTATATAACACGTGCATTTAGGAAAGTTGACTTTATACTTCAAGTCGAGATAGAAAATGACGAACAGTCTTTAAGCGCCCAAAACATTCACATATACAAATACTTTAAAGACGATACAACATTGTTGCAATGTATGATTTCATTTAATGAAATGTTCGAGAAAAAGTTTAACATTGAAGTACAAACTTTACAGCCTTTACGTGAGTTTCTTGCACAACTGAAAGAAGAAGGTAGTCAGCCACAACTTATAGACTTTCATTATGAATTTAATGAAAATGAAGATGGAACTCATGACTGTCAGTTTGTTGTATTCTCACCATTCAATGAAGTAGCTAAAGAGAAAGAAAATCCATTACGTATAAGATTTCAAATCTCTGAACCAAGTGATGATTTCAAGAATGTTTTCAATTATGATGCAATGCTTCCGAGGAAAAATGAATTTTCAAAGATTGTAACACCTGGCATTTGGGATAGAAAGCAAGCTATATTATATTCAAACTTAAGTAAGGGAGTTGAAAATGAGTTCATTGGTCATACAAGAACTACACCACTTCCTAACCCTAAATACTATAAATTAACTGGCTTCAATCGTGAGTTTTGGATAGACATGTTCTCCACTCATGACCATAACTGCCCAGTGTTCTTACCTCCAGACCATAAGGACTGTCTCTACATTGAAGCACAACTCTTAAACTCTACCATCGCAGTATTGTAAATGACCACATGGGCTTCGCCCTTGCCGCTAGCGGCTTATTTTTATCATGAATGACCTCATTGCTGACAAAAATAAATGACCTCATTCATGACCTCATTGCTGACCTCATTCATGACCTCATTGCTGACAAAAATAAATGACCTCAGAACTTCAACTTACGAATAAAGCTTGTTTTAGTCGTTATTGAGAAGTTAAACTTTTCAGCAAAGCAAGGACTAGAAGACTTACATAAGTCAAATCCAATCTCTTGACCGTCATAAAGTGCTTTATAAAGTTTCATGACACTGAACTCAGAGTCTTTGTCAAATTTTCCTTGCGGAACCATTAAACCTTTATCTTCATTGTAATAGCATTGTATAGCTTCAGGAAACATTTCATTAGCGGTTAAAGCAATAACATCTTGCTTCACGCCTTTCATTCTGCAGTGAAATGCAACTTCATTTAAATCGTTAGTGAGTAAGTCTATGTAAGTCTTCTTTCCACAAAATATTGACTTGTATGCTAAACTTTGTTTTCCAGGTGTTATTTCTGCGAAGTCACTATGAAACTGACCAAGGTTTTTACCAATAAGTTCTCTACCGTATCTCTTCTTAAATTCATGAGCTAAACGTGGTATGTCTTCATTGTAAATGTGCATCGAATCTGTATCCTGATAAAATGCTTTTAATCCTAAGTCTTCAATCGTGCAAAACACTTCATTCATAATACGTTTTGACATAGACAGAATGTTAACACCAAGTGGACAGAAGTTAAAGTGTCTGCAAATGCTTTTCGTTAGCTTGAAAATAGTTTTATCTGAACCATCCAAACCTTCGAACTTCACTATATGGTTGTAGTTTCTGATGGCATATCTTATAGCATCTTTGTCATCTACTATGGTTATTTTTGACTCAATAGGAGATAGAATAGTTTTGCCATAAATACTGTTCAGAATGAGCTTTATATTTTCTTGCAAAGGATTTCCTTCTTTCTTATACTTTAACCTTAACTCAAACAACTTCTTTACTTCATCTCTTATTCTAATATCTCTGTTTCCATCGTAGTAATATCCTTGCAACACTTCACATTTGACACCTTGATATTTTATAAGGTCTTGTAATGTTATATGGTCAACATACATTAAACAGCAAGTGTTTGAACTTCTGGGAACGTTAAGTTCTGGATTTAGTTCAGGGTCACAAACTATTAAAGGAAAGTGTCTATGTATTCCAATCTCTGTTATCTTAATGAGAACAAAGAAGCCAGACATAAACTTTTCACCAATGGGTTCCTTTTGGTCGTCATCGAATAAATGTCTCATGAGATACTCTGTGCTTAACATCTCATCCTTCAATACTTTTGGAATTCCTTCTAAAGTATAAAGTCTTGCTATAGCTGATGGATATAATGAAACAGCGTCGAAGTCAGCAATGAGTTTCTTTTTGCTCTTTTGTTTAATGTTATCTGACAACATACATCTTCCACCTTGAATGCATCTGAAATAAATTCTCTTGGTTTATTTGAGAGGTCATAAAGATTTCCATTCGGGAAGTACACTCTGTTCTCAAACAATTTGTTAGCAATAGAACAAATACTAACGTAGTCATAAACGTTTAAATCAAACTCTTTCAATAAGTCATTGCGGAACTTTACAAAACCTTCTCTTAAAATTCTTACATCTTGTTTGCAGTAAAACGTGCTATATTTTTCTAAGTCGAAGTGGTTTTCATCTATTCTGCAACCTTTGATGGAATCTATGTTCTTCATGAACGTTTCAATATCTTTTACAAACTTACATGCTTCAGAAATGACACCAGTTCTGTTGTCATTTGCTAACAAAACACTGCTGTAGTAGTTGTATGGAAATACTTCTTTCGGTCCTGTTTGTAAGTTAAACATAGCAGGAAATAGTTTAAGCTTCTTATTTATAACACTGTAAGAGTCTTTTATAATAATTGCCCTTCCTTATATAAACCAGTTATTTGCATTGTTCGTGAACCTTTAATGATGGGAGTTCCTTTCACTTCTGTCATGTGTCTTAAGATGAAGTTTATATCATAGCTGAGGTTATGGAAATATATTAAACTCTTGTCAGGAAGTCGCTCCAAAAATTCTGTTGCACAGTTTTGACCCCATATGCTTTCACTCACTGAACCATCTTCACTGTCATAACAGATGTTAAAAGCTTTATGAAAGCCATCGGTACTACACTCAAAGTCAGCAAAGAAAACATGCTCAGGAATGAACTTGCACTTATTTTTATTTACTTCTTTTGACTCTGCTTTCTTCTTCAGTTGTACACAATACTTTGGAGCATATGTCAAATCTTTAAATGGTGCAAGGTTCTGTTTATATAAGTCAGTCGTATATGTGAAAAGTTCTCCATAAGAAATAGGTTCGAAATATTTGCACTCCCACAATGTTTTCATAACATCCCATAGCGGTGTAGTTCTATCCATGCGAACAATGTATTTATCATCTCTTTGTATAAATTTTCATCTGTTTTCA